CCGAGAGCTGGTGGCTCATTCACCCCCGTGAGTGTCGCTCCCTGGGGCACCAATGTCCACACCGGCGCTGTGCCCCTTCAGATGAACTCAGCTTCTTCCTGTCAAACGTCTCTTGATCTCCGCACAGAGCAATAAAACCTCTCCTCCTGGCAGACCACGCCACGGACAAGAGCAGTGTCCTTTTGTGATGTCACCCAGCTGGGCGACGGAGTGGCTGGGCTGCCTCTGCCCGACCCTCTTCCCAGCTGTCCCTGCAGGTAGCTGGCATCGGACCCGGGCCCAGACTCCCGCACCCCCCAACCTCCCCCAATCTGCCAGGCAGCCTGTCACCGCCCTCACTGTGTGCCTTCATTAGCGTTCAGCCCCTTGAGTCTGTCTCCTCCTTCCCTATTTGCTGCTGGACTGTGGGTCTCGGGTGGTCAGGGGGCAGGAGAGCGTTCGGGACAGGCACAGGCCTCCCACCCGCCTCCGGTGCCTACGATCCCTGGGAATTTAACAGCCAGGGGAGACGTTCCAAGTCCGGCGGGTGCCACACCGATTCGGGGCAGGAAGCCCGCCGCTGCTGCTGGGGTCGCGGGGCCAGATGGGGACACGTGCTGGAGGCGCCCTCACTGCTCCGCTCTGCTGGTCTGCTCCCCTCACCCCCGAATCCCTTCTCCCACAGGGTTCCTGCAGTTCAGCCCTGCCCAAGCTCCCCAGCAGCCCCGGGAGCCATGCCTCGTTTCTCCAGAACCTCCTGCCCTCCCGCCTTCCTGCTGCGCGAGCAGAAACAACCGGGCGCTTTTGATCTTTGCCCTTCTTGTTTGCCCATCGTGCTGTGCTGCTGGGCCCCACGTCTCTCCCTACCAGGGGCCTCCCTGGCCACTTCCTGGAGCTCAGGCTCCCCCCACAGCCCCCTCCCCCACCCCGCGGTCCCGGCCTCTGCTTCTAGAGCCTGTCACGGGAGGTCAGGATTTTCCCTCGTGGCTGGATGAGCTCCAAGTCCTTCCTTTGGCCACAGAGACCCGGCAGTGCGATCATACCCTGAGTGACCCTAAAAAAGGAGGAGGACGCTCAACCATCGGGCCACGCCCCGCAGCGGGCACCAGACTTGCCGCCAGTCCTCCGCCCGTGGCCAAGCCCTCCGTCACAGACCCGTCGGACCAAGGCCTGTCCTGCAGCCCGCGCAGGAAGGGAGCCCACTCGCCTCCCATGGTGCACGGTGACCACGGAAGAGGGTACACGACACGACGTGCCAGGGCCGAGAAGGGAGGGCAGGACCCACGCTCTAAAACCACAGCCCTGTTGTAGGAGCCGGGTGGTATATTTAGCAAAGCAGGATGTTTGTGGGCAAATCAACATTTTGCTGTAAATAAAATTTTGAGCTGAGGATTGCAGAAACTTCTTTAGCCTGTATGTTGCCGAGAAAGCTCTTTTCCTAAAATGAACTCACTGTGACCCCTCCTGCGGAGAGCTCCCGTGCCTTTGTGATGAGGGGTGTTGTCCGGGGCTGGAGCCGGAGCCCGAGGAGTTTGGAGAAGCTTCTCCCTGGGTGGGCCAGCAAGCCTGTTCCTCCTCACATCTGTGCGCTGTGCCCCCCACTGGCCAACCGGACCCTGGCATCCAGGTCTTGTCGTGACCGGCTTCCACCGCATATAGTTCCGCGGTTGGGGCTCAGGATTCTTTACGTCAAGAGCTCCAGTGGACGGCTGGCCCCACACTGGGACTGACCGGTGGGTGACTCTGCGTGTATCTCAAGCCGTGTCGCACACACAACACACACACACGGCACGTAGGAGGCACTACTCCATCTCCAAACCTGCCTCTCCCCCACTTTTGCCAAAGTGTATTTGACTCATTCCACCTGTGCCTGGTGGAGGAGAACCGTGTTGGGGAGACGCCACGGCTCTTCCCAAATTCCCGACCTGTGGGTTTGGGGGCAAAACTAAATGGTTGTTTTAAGCCGCTGACCCCGGGGCCGTTTCGTGCTGCAACAGATGACCAAAATACTGAGGACGTGAGTCTCAGGGACACTTCCCTGGGAGTCCTGATGGGAAATTCTAGGAAGGCTTCCTGGAAGACCTAGTGTCTCAGGGGGTGAGACGGGGGTGGGTGGGATGTTGCGAAAGAGAAAACAGTGTGAGCGGAGGAGGGCCCGCGGGGAGAGGGAGTCGCATTTTCCTGCGGATGCACAGACCCTGGGAGGACAGAGGGCAGATGGTGAAGACGTTGGTGGACGTGAGCTTCTGCCCGAGACGCTCCGGAATGTGGCTGGGCTGAGACTGCATTGCGGACGAGAAGGAGCACCCAGCCATCACCCAGGGCCTCTAGGAGGATAGCAGAAGCGCCCTCGATGGCCCCAGGGTGGTCCCACCAGCTCTGCCGTCTCTGACTCACGGAGACCACAGGTGTCCACACCAGCAGCCGGAGACGCGTTCATGTGCCGGTCTCTTCCGAGCGCTCCTTAGCCGAGCTCTGTGAGACGGTGGCTGGGGCACACAGACCCCACTCCGGTGCAGAAGACTGGGCATCTAAAGGCACAGGAGCCGCCCCGTGTCCCGTCTGGGGCACGAGTCCCGGAGGACGTCTGCAGGCCAAGAGGAGAGCTCACTGGAATGGAAGCTCCCGTGTCTGAGCCCAGAGACCCAGACCCTGCGGCAGGAGCAGCGCTGCCGTGGGGCAGGGGCGGGGGGATGAAGGTCTAGATGGCCAACCTGGCCACACCCATGACATGCTGGGTTTACACCCGGTAAAAGCCACACTTCTGGGCAAAGGCGGGGTGACGCTTCGGGAACTTCAGTGCCTCGGGGTCTACCTAAAATGGAGCTTCCGCATCGGGGGGCCCCAGATGGGTCCACGTCCCCAACAAGCTCCCAGGTGCATCAGTGCTGCCGCTGGCCCAGGAGCCATACCTGGAGCAGCCAGGATTTAGAGGACGTCTCCAAGAAGATGGGCCAGCATTTACCCAAATGCAGAAGGCTTTTCCCCAACATAAAAGGGGGAAAAAAACCAAATACGATTATATTCATTGTTCCAGGAAACAGCAATGAAATAGGAACAAATAACATGCTTTACTGCCGTCATGGTAGGATCAGCGCTGTGGGCCAGTGCTCTATAGCTCATGACAGTCACAAACTTAGCGGTATCAGATGACACCTGCTTACTAACCCGCGGCCCTCCAGGCCACAAGTCCCAGCGGGCTGGCCAGCTGCACCGCTTAACGCCTCACAGGGTGAAGTCAAGGCTCTTGTCGGCTCAAGGCTGTCGTCGGGAGGCACGGGGAAGAATCATTTCCAGGCTCCCTGCTGCCTTGCAGCTGTGGACAGGGATCCCCACTTTCTCGCTGGCTGTCAGAGGTTGGGGGGGGGGCACTGCTCTCAGCAACCAGAAGCCACTCTCAGGTCCTCGTCCCACAGCCAGAAACAGACACTTCCCTCACATCACATCTCTAATGTCCCCTTCCGTGACCAGCCAGCGAAAACACTCTGCTCTTAAAAGATCGCCATGAGTTTAGGCCCACCCACATAATCTCCCTATTTTCAGATGCAAATCCCTTTGCTGTGCAAAGTGACATAGCCCTGGGAGTAACACCAGGGGAGCCAGGTCATGGGACCCTCTTAGATTTCTGCACCATGAGCCAGAGATGCTGCCTTAGGGAAAAACAAGCAAGTTGCAAAGATTTTCTTCTAGGACTTTCATGTCTATAAATTCGTGTACAGAGCAAGGGAAGGGTTGTGTCCCCCCCCCCCCATACGGATTGTTTAAAAAATATTCATTTCCCTATTGAATTGAATGGGTATCTTTGTTAAAAATCAACTGACCACCTGGTGTGGTTCTCTGTTACGTCCATCTGATTCCTATGTCCACACTACTTGATTCCTGTAGCTTTGTAGGAAGTCTGGAACTCAAGGGGTATCTGTCCTCCAGCTTTTAAAAAATTGTTTGGACCATTCTAGGTCCTTTGTACAGCCGACCTTCGAACAATGCAGAGGTTAGGGGTGACAGCCCCCTGTACAGAAATCCACAAAGAACTTTTGACTCCCCCAAAACTTAACTGCTAATAACCAACTGTGGGCAAGAAGTCTTACCATAACACAGTTGATTAACACAATATTTTGTATGTCATACGTATTATATACTGTGTTCTTACCATAAAGTAAGCTTGAGAAAAGAAAATGCTATTAAGGGGGCACCTGGGTGGCTCAGTCGGTTGAGCGTCTGACTTTGGCTCAGGTTATGATCTCATAGTTTGTGAGTTCGAGCCCCGCGTCGGGCTCTGTGCTGACAGCTCAGAGCCTGGAGCCTGCTTCGGAGTCTGTGTCTCCCCCTCTCTCTGCCCCTCCCCTGCTCATGCTCTGTCTCTCTGTCTCTCAATAATAAATAAACGTTAAAAATTTTAAAAAAAGAAAAGAAAATGCTATTAAGGAAAACATAAGGAAGAGAAAATACATTTACAGGACTAGACTATATTGGAAAAAAAAAAAAATCTGCATCTCAGTGGGCCCATGCAGTTCCAACCTACGTTGTTCAAGGGTCAATTATACTGTCAAGTGCATTTTAGAATTAGCTTCTCAATTTCTACACAAAACCCTGCTGGAACTTTTAGTGGGATTGCACTGAATCTATAGATCGATTTGAGGAGAACATGCGCCTTTGGGCAATGGGGTCTCTCAATCCAGGAACTTGGCACATCTCTCCATGTATTCCGGTCTTTTAAAATGTCTCTCTCAACAGTGCTCTGTCGTTTTCTGTGACCAGGAGTTGCACATCTTCTGTTCAATGTGTTTTTAACTATTTCATTTGCTGTTACAAATGGAAATTTTTTTTAAATGTCATTATTCAATTGTTTGCTGCTAGCATATGCATGTGCAGTTGAATTTTGTACATTAGCCTTGTCTCCTGCAACTTACACCAGTGGCTTTCTACTGGTAGATGCTTTGAGCTCTTCGGTGTAATCATGCTTAAATCATGTTTAAATTGAGAGTTTTACTTCTCCCCTACCAACTATGTCTTTTACATCCTTTTTTTTTTGTTTTACAGCCATAGTTCTTAGGGAGATGACTACAGTGATAAGAGAGAGCATGCTTCCTTATCTGATTCCTGATCTTAGAGAGAAAGTACTCACTATTTCAACAGTAGGTATAGTATTAACTCTAGGTTTTTCACAGATGCCCTTTATCAGATGAAAGAAGTCCCTTTCTTTTTTTATTTTGCTTAATTTTCTAGAAAAAGAAAAAAAAAACAATTGCACAATCACAGTAAGAGATGTTAACCTTCCTCTCTCAGCAGTGTGTCGATCAGTTCGAAAAAGTGTCCGTAGGCACGTAGAACTGGACACCGCCATTTACTTCAACCTAATTGCTATTTCTACATCATCACGTATTCTTTTCAGGTACACGTAAAAACCTACATACACACGGCACAAGTCTCAAAAAATTCAGAAGGTCTGTTAAGTACATGACGCAGATTCTCTGATCTCACCCGAATTAAATTAGGAATCACTAGCTAAATGGTATCCAGGAAAACCTCCAATATTTGGAAACTAAAGGATACACTTCTAAATAACACACGTTTTAAAAAAGGAAGTTGCAAATAACTTAGAAAATATCTCAAGCCCAAGTGGTAGTGAAAATCCATCATATCAAAATGGGGTGCCGCGAAGGCCGTGACGAAAGGGGCTTCTACAGGTTTCAGTGCCTGCGTTAGAAAAGAGGGAGAGTCTGATATCAATGATTGAAGCGTCCACCTCAAGAGCCTAAAAAAGAAAGTAAACAGAGTAAACACAAAATAAGTGGAAGGAAAGAAATAATAAAGAGCAGAAATCAACAAAACAGAAAACAGACATTAGCAAGACGTTCCAAAGCGAGATCCTAGTGTTTTCCAAGCAACAAAGTAGGTAAGCTCATACTCAGACTAATCAAGAAAATATTATAACAGAACATAAACCACTGATATCAAGCATAAAAGACTGGTTATCACTTGGATAACCAGGATAGGATAGATATTAAAAGGATAAGAAGCCAAATTTGTGAATGACTTTATCCCAATCAGCTTGCTCACTTCATGAACTGGGCAATCTCCATGAAAAATGTAACTTACCAAAGTTTGGACAAGCTCAAAGAGAAAATGGGAAGAGTCCTGCCTGTTGTCATAAACCCTCCCACCAAGGAAACCCCAGGCCCCCTCAGGTTCATAGATGAACCCCATCAAATGTTCAAAGAAGTGATAACACCAAACGTATGCAACAGAGAAACAGAGAAAGAGGCAACACATCCCACTGTGTTTCCGACGCAAGCGTAATATCAACACCAAAACATAACAAAACATTACCAAAAATGAAGGATTGCTTTTAAAGCACTAAAGTCAACACGGTAGTGCTCCGGAGAGTCTCAGAGTTGCCCAGCCCCATTGCAACACCAATGACTAACTTGAGCCAATGAGAACGAACTTCAACTCCCGACGTCATGATATTAAACTTCGTTCCACAATGTCTTTTGAGAGTTGGCCATGTTTGGTAACAAAGAGTCTTTTTGTTTTTATGTTTTAAAAATATTTTAATGTGTTTTTTTCTTTATTTTTGAGAGAGAGAGTGAGAGAGAGCTGAGGAGGGGCAGAGAGAGAGGGGAACAGAGAATCCTAGCAGGCTCTGCACTGACAGCACAGACCCCGGGTGTGGGACTCGATCCCAGGACCCGTGAGATCATGACCTGAGCTGAAATCAAGAGTTGGACACTTAACTGATGGAGTCATCCAGGCACCCCAAAGAATTTTTTTAAAAGAAAAACATGGGGCACCGGCGTGGCTCAGTTGGTTAAGCGTCTGACTATGGCTCAGGTCACGATCCCACGGTTTGTGAGTTCAAGCCCCACATCGAGATCTGCACTGACACGTGCAGAGCCTGCTTGGGGTTCTCGCTCTCTCTCTCCCTCTCTCTACCCCTCCCCAACTTGAACTCTCTCTCTGCCTCTGTCAAAATAAAAAAACTTAAAAAAAAAGAAAAAGAAATAACTCTGAGCAAAGAAACGCAGAAAATCATATTCCTGGCTTAGCAGAAATCCAAATACGGTAACGAGGACTCCAGAAAAACTGCGTTGGGAAGGGAACTAGAGAAGAACGACATGGAAAAGTCCAAGAGCGAAATGGGCCCGTGCTCCCTTTAATTGGCATGTGGTGCAGAATTTCTTACATGTGTGTCAGTGGGTTCTTTGAAGAAAGCACCGCAACTCCTATTTTGACAGATGTTCTCAGTGTGGTTTCCACTCCCCAGCTAAGTGACCTTTCCGCTCACAAGACCCGCGACGGTAAAACCTGAGAACTTTCTTACCTAGTTATTCAGAACCAGCAGGTCACCCAGAACACAAGGCTCGTGGCCACGGGCGGCTCCCACCGTGTGCGCATCCCCGGGGGCCCACGGGACACCCGCGAGGGTGCAGCAACAAGCCTCCCCGGAATCACCCCGTCGGGAGTCACTCCCCAGAGACAGGGACACAGCAGCTGCGGAAAACCAACGGGGACCTGGTTTCTGATTGGAAATTCGGGACCCCGTTCTGACAAAGGACCTGGTGGCTGGCAGTCTGAGGGCACCGGCGGTTCAGGAGAACCTGACGGTTCGTTCGCGGTTGAGGCAGCGACAGGCTCAGAGAAGCGGCACGGGGGGCAGCCGGCGTCACCACCGCGTGGCCCGGGGCCCACTCTGTGACGGGACCACGGGACGCAGAGAGGAGGGCTGAGGACCACTGAAGCGCTCTGACACTGCTGTGCCATCACGATGCGGGCGTGCTTTTTCATCATTCAGGCTTGTTGTGTTTTACAAAAGTACTCATCCAAGCAGAGAACGGGCCCTTCCACACGGACTGGGTGTGATGCACTGTTCCGGAATGTGGGGTCCTCTGGCCGTGGGGGGGCGGACCACAGGTAATGCGCCGATGAAGCGTCTAACGACACACTGGTGTTTAGAACGGGCTTGAATGCAGGCCGAGCTGCCCCTCGAAGTCCTGCTCGTCCACCCCTCCGCCTTTCCCCTGGGTTCTGGGGTGTACAGAGGGGCTGCGGACCCGGTCAGGGCGCCTGGGGTGCACCTGAGCAGCTGGCTTCCGTCACATCATCACCGGCACCACGACAAAGAGGCAGTACGCGGCTGGGCGGGCTGGGCGCTGTGTGCACGGGGTCAGCAGCCCCTCACCAACCACGCCCGGGCAGTTGCCGTGCGGGCAACTGTGCAGGGTCCTCGGCAGGAGGCCGGGGCACGGAGGCCCGGCTCAGGTCAAATCTCACGAGAGAGCTTGAAACTCATTTGTTTTTCCAAGTCAGCCCCACGCTCCACTTAAATGTGGTTACTCACACACACCAACTGGAAATGACGCAGCTCTTTCTTCTTATGCAATCCCCGCAGTGAGCATGTGCGAGCCCCGCGTCCTGGGGTCACACAGACCCTGGCGATCGGCTCGATTTTCCACGTCCCAGGGGTTTTATTTCACGAGGCTAACAGACTGCGGCCTGCATAGACTGCCCTGCCACACACGGCCCCTCTTTCCCTCTCGTTTTCAAGGACGGTCAAACCCCGGTGAACTTCGCTGTGATACGTGATTTCCTGATACACGCATCTTGGGGCTCGGCAGGCCTGCCCGCAGGTGTGTTTGCCAGGAAACAAGCCGTGTTTAGTTTCTGTGGTTTGGCAGGGAAATCTCCAAGCTGGGTGGATTTGGGGAAAGAAGGAACCAAACTCAGGCCCGGAGAAGGTCTGGCTGATAGGAAAGGATGCCGAGGTGCGGTCCTGGGCTCAGCCGGGCCAGCCGAGGCCTGGGCAGCCACAGGGTCCTGGCCAGAAAAGACCCCGGACGCATCTGCCCGGCTCCTTGGCCAAGGCCTTGGGTGGCCCCTCAGCGCCCCCTATTCCTATCAGCCCTGGGCTAAACACCCCCAAAGGAAGGGAGAGCCAGACTCTAGGGTGTGAAGCGGGCAGAACAGGACACGAGGCCCAGTGCCACTGGCCTGTGTCCGTGGGGACCCACCACTGCATCGTTCCCCGCCTAACAGTTGGGATTTGCCCTTTGACTCTTCCTCACCCGGTGGGCCTCCCGGACCTGCCTGGGATCTCAGGGTGGCTCTCGGACAGGACACGCCGTGGTGGCATTTCAGGAGAGGCAGGTGAGCCCCTGCTGCTCCCCAGGGTGTGTGGGGGTGGAGACAGATGGCAGGTCAGTCCGCAGGGAAAGCTCGTTTGTCACAAAGGGGAAGTCACCGGGCAGCCCAAGGCTTATGGTTGTCGGACAGCAATAGGATCAGGGCCGTAGAGCCGCTGAAATCAACATTATTTATGTAAAGATAACACGAGCTGTGGGGGGCGGGGGTGGGGGGTAGGACGAGTGGTCACTCGTGGTCTCTGGGCTGCGGTGTCTCAGGCCTCCCCAGTACCACCGGAAATTCACTGTGCTGGGCATCCCCCGGCATCAGGGGCAATCACGTCCCTCACCCTGATCCCCGGAAGCTGCCCATCGCCAAGAAGCAGGTGGGGCTGAGGGGGTGGGGAACCTGCAGGTGGACAGAGACGAGAGTTCATCCAGCCACGGTCCTCAAGGAGCTTCGAAGGGAGATCATTTTTATTTTTAAGTGTATGGGGGGGGGGGGGGGTGGTGTAGGGGCAGAGAGAGACAAACAGAGGATCAGACCACTAACTACAGGTGGCCGCAACATGAGCGGGGAAGAAGGGCCACGAGAGAAGACAGACGGGCAGGCCGACCCCCCACAGCTTGCGGAGGACTCAACACGGACCAGGTCCCAGCGGATCCAGGGTCAGGCTGGTGACTCTTAACCTCCCGATGTTGGTCCCACTCGGGGCCTCTCTCCCATTCATACTGTCACCCTGAGTTCTCGGTCACCAGTTCTGTGCTCCTCCTGGGCGCCTACAGCGCCCGCCGCCCCTCCGACTACAGCTTGCTCTGCGCCCACTCCGGCCACGCTGGCTGGTGCATCACTTCCCGCGAGGACGCGCGCTGTCTGCGGAGTGAACCACGCTCCGGAAGTAACGAGTGCAGATCAGGGCCGGGTCAGCGGTGGGTCCGGAGCTCGACCTGCCGGCCAGGGGTGGGCCCCGGGTGGCACGTTCTGCTCTCTCTGCCTGGAACCCCCTCCCGGCACCCCTGCCCAGGGGATCGGCAGCGTCCTCCCAGGGGCTCCCCTCCTGCGGCCGGCCCCCAAAGACGTCCACGTCCTCACCCCGGAACCTGTGAACGTCATCTTGCTGACGTGACGGGCTGAGGGCTGTCCAGGTGGGCGTCCCCACAGCGGGGAGATGGACGGAAGACAACGAGAAGGTGCTGTGATCGTGGATTCCGGGCGCGGAGCCTGGGGCCTGTGCGTATGAGACCACGAGGGAGCCCAGAGCCAGGGAAGTCAGGCAGCCTCTGGGCGCCGGGCAAGGAAACACAGATCCTGCCCCAGAGCCTCCAGAAGGAGCAGGCCCTGCAGACCCCTTGACTTCAGCCCAGTGGGACTGAATTCTGGCTGCTAGACCAGCAAGAAGCGAACGTGCCCTGCTTTAAACCATCAAGTCAGGGGGCGCCTGGGTGGCTCAGTCGGTGAAGCGTCTGACTTCTCTCCTACTTAGGTTGTGATCTCACGGTTTGTGGGTTTGAGCCCCGCCTCGAGCTCCGTGCTGACCGCTCCGAGCGCGGAGCCTGCTTCGGATTCTGTGTCTCCCTCTCTCTCTGCCTCTCTCCCGCCCGTACTCTGTCCCTCTAGCTCTCTCTCAAAAAT